CCCTACGTGGCATGTCGGTAAACTGTGTGTACCTTCAAATGTATTTAGATTGGCAAGGAAATCTTTTTCCTTGATGCCAAAACCCAAAATATAATGAAGTTTATTAAATATTGGTTCATGTAGCTCACTTTCTGTTGATCTCATGAAATTGTAATAACAATAACTTCGCAGATTCGCATATGAATAGCTCTGTAGTAGCCTAATGACCCAAAGGCATAAAGAGAATGTACTAGGGATTGACAAAAAAACAAACCTATGTCAGAGGCTACAAATTAAAAAGATTAAAATCTATAAATTACAAACTGCACTACTAGAGAACATGATTGATATTTGCATAAAGTTTGGTGAATCTCTGTCGCATGGTTTGGAAGATATGCTCCAGACGAGGACATTACCCTAAGTTCATCAATTTTCAATTTAAATTGAAAAAAAAAGAAGAAAAAATCTGTTAATAGCAAAGGCACCACTACATAACCTGCTTGATAGGTGTAAAAACTTTTGAGAAGCTAAGTTGTATGGTTCGGGAGATATGGTCTGGACAAGAGCAGTACCCTCAAATTTCCTAAGTTCATCATATTTCCATGGAAACGACAAAAATAAAAAATTCTAAAAATCTCTAAATAGCAAAAGGCACTACTACTGAGCCTGATTGGTAAGCGTACCAAGTTTTGTGAAGCTAGATTGTACGGTTTAGGAAATATGCTCAAGACAAACAATGATTACAGACGGACAGACAGACAGACGGACGGACAGACGGACATACTGATGGCTATATACCCCTGTCATTATATGTCGGGGGGATAAAAAATATTGAGTTTCATTGGGTTTACTATACACCCGGGTTAGAATTGCTCCCTAGCAACCTATGCTGTTCGTAAGAGGCGAACCCGTGAAGATCCGGGTTAGAAAAGGTCTTCAGCAACCCATGCTTGCCGAAAAAGGCGACTATACTTGTGGTAAGAGGCGAGTAACGGGATCGGGTGGTCAGGCTTGCTGACTTGGTTGATGCATGCCATTGTGCGTATCTCGATTGCGTGGATCGATGCTCATGATGTCAATCACTGGATTGTCTGGTCCAGATTCGATTATTTACAGACTGCCGTCATGTAGCTGGAATAGTGCTGAGTGCGGAATTAAACAACAAACAAACAAACAAACAAACGTAAGAGGCGACCTAGTGGATCGGATGGTCCGACTCGGTAACTTGGTTCACCGACGGCGTGAATCGTTTCTCACAACACCAGTCACCGTCATATAGCTGGAATATTGAGAGAATGTCGAGAAACAACAAACGCAAGCACTTTGAATGTACTATACATGCTGGGCATAAACGAAATATGCACCCATGTTTGATGGTGGCTAAAAATAAAACAAACAAGAAATGAGTATCATAAATTTGTTTTGGACCTTAAGAGTTTGCAGCGTTTCGGTGATCGTTTTCAGCCTAGTAGCGTTTTTAATAACTTTTGTAATTGTTTTGGTTGAATCCAATTTTGAGGTGTATACTTTCTTTTGTCTCGCAGTGTACATTCTTCTGAAGTGATTATACGACTGTTTCAGCTGAAGTGAGTGAGTGAGTGAGTGAGTGAGTATGGTTTTACGCCGCTTTTAGCAATATTCCAGCAATATCACGGCGGGGGACACCAGAAATGGGCTTCACACGTTTTTATCCATGTCGGGAATCGAACCCGGGTCTTCAGTGTGACGAGCGAACGCTTTAACCACTAGGCTACCCGACTCCCCCCCCCCCCCCCCCCCCCCCCTTTCAGCTGAAGCTTCTCGGGGATAATCCTAAAATGATCAGGTCACGTTTGTTATCTGAACAAGCCAGTTGGATGAGTGTTAGGTATTTCAAATGTAATCCCTATATCTCGAGGATAATTAGAGATCATTATACGGCAGTTGTCATAACAACCCGAGACCCGCATATCAGCCCGAGGGCCGAAGGGGTGTGATATAAAAAATGCCATATAATAAACATTTTATCATAAACCATAACATAATATGTAATAATTATCATTTACCTATCATTGATATGTGGCGTTTTGCATGTACGACAGAGACAACATAGAGACGGTAATATTACAGGGCTATTATAACTAGACCCGTATTACACCCCTGCCAGGCTGATATGGCTTGTCAATGCATTTTGAATAGACTGTAGATATCAGCCTGGTAAGACATTAGAGTTACGTCCCTTAAAATGTCGTCTTCTCGGCTAGCTTTTCCGGAACAATGTCTTCCAAAGAAAGTGAACATGCTTTTACGGACATGCACGGAATTAAGAGATGGTTAATGAATGGATTCATTTTACAATTTGATGTTATGATATATGAAAAAATAGTTGTTATATGGCAGCTTTCATATCATACCCCATATCAACCCTCGACCCCCATATCAACCCTCGACCCTCATATCAAACTTCGACCCCCATATCAACCCTCGACCCCCATATCAGACCTCTGGCCTTCGACCCTCGAGTTGATTGGGGGTATGATATGAAAACAGCCATATAATAACCTCTAAACATACTCACCGACAAAAGAAACGCGAATATCATACATGTTGGTTAATATATGAAGAATTACTCATAGTCAAGAGACATTAGATTGGTTCGACGCACAAACGAACATATTGGTATGTTGTGTGAAATGACGCTCTTGAACGCATCACATATGACGTCATACATCCATGACTGGAGATGCACCATTTGTCTCGTGCATGATTAGCATGTGAAGTGTGGAAATAAAGACACTTTGGTAACACTTGACTGGTTGTTAGTTTTGTCATTAAAATCTTTTTAACGTACATACTTATATACATACTCTATATGTTTCTATGGTTTGTGTTTTTTTTTTGTCAATGCGTATCCACTGTACCTGTTCTCTCTGCGAGCGCACTTCTCTACGTCTGTCCTTTTCACTAATTTAACACACGCAGCAATGTTGGGATCCACATCTATATTCCATTAACGTTTCTGACTCTCAATTTGATCAAATATATGTTTGGTTATAAATGATTAAAATAGGTCCTGTTGACAACAGAAAGAGAACATCGATAATAAAATATGTGATAGTAATAATTATCGTACCATCTGCCGCAATGGAAGCAATTAATTGTTTGATTGTTTTTTTTGTGTATCATGCTACAGTACTGGTGGTTGTAATATACTGTTGGTGTGAACTCTTTGTGTTAACATGTTGGCAACGTTTACATTAACGTGTGTAATTTATAAAAATACATTTGAAATGTGAAGTTGATAATAACACTCTGACAATGAAAAATTCAACCTGTCTCTTCTAAGAATCAACCGCCTCCGTGGTCTAGTGGTAGAGCGTCCGCCCGGAGAGCGGACGGTCCGGGGTTCGATCCCCGGCCGCGTCATACCAAAAGACATTAAAAGATGGTACTTGTTGTTACCCTGTCTAGCGCTCGGCATTAAGGGGCTAAAACAAGGACTGGTCGGCTCGGAGTCAGTATACTGTGTCTGAGTTGGGTATTCATGTTAAACTGCGGTATGGTATCTCAGTGGGCTAGCACTATAAATCGGTATCAGTCCGGACTAGTACAAGCAGCCACACACACACAAACACACACACGTGCATGCACGTCGCTTTATAAGTGCAATAATCTTGGACGCGACGTTAAACCTAATTTCACCTCACCTCACCTCTTCCAAGAATCCAGACCCATCAATGGGAGACGGGGATGTCCAAGTTGGGTTAGGTTCACGAGGAAGGGGCCACGGATGTCCCAGCTGTATTCATGTTCGCAGTAGTTCGCAGTTCACAGTTGCCCGGATGCGCTGAACGTTTGCGCGATCTCATAATTACATATTCATGGGTTTCACCAAAGTCGTAACCGTCTGAGGGCGATCTTACTATTGGCTTCTTTCTCGTAATAAACTGATATACCGTGATATTACTTAACAAAATGATCAACCCAGCTTAAACCCAAGAAATAAAATAGTCACACCAGCAGGTTCACAACATACAGCAAAATGAACACTGAAAAAAAAAATCAACAAAGAACAAGTGTTCCGACCAAATCTTAAAAGTGTTTTTTTTTCAATAACTTTCAATTTGTTAACAGATCCTTGGTGAATAAAGCATTGCTCTGCTCTCTGCGTAGAGTGACAGAGGGCGATATGGAGAGAGAGAGAGAGAGAGAGAGAGAGAGAGAGAGAGAGAGAGAGAGAGAGAGAGAGAGAGAAAGAGAGAGAGAAAGAGAGAGAGTTTAATGTCTGGGACTCTCCAGGCTTCGGTGCGGTGATTATACCACTGCCCCAAGCTAATTTGCATATCATGTGACCGGAATTTCCTCGTGTTCATAAACAAACGCGCTAATACTGAATTCAGTGTAGTCCCAACAGATCGAAATATTGCAGATTGTTATGCATTATTATAAATATATGCTACTACGACCACGATAGTGAGAGCCATGACAGTGTAGTACACATCAAAGTGAGGGTACGGCTAATTATCCAAATGGGTCCAATACCTGAACGGACAACGGTGTAAACAATGAATCAATACGTAATACATATAGTCTTTAAGGTTTGATGATATTTCCTCAATGAAAGCATGCACAAACTGATCTGAGTGCTCCGACGATGCAACTCCCACACTTTAACATAGACGGTAGTCGTAGAAAAAAGATAGCTATGAAAATATTTGGCGACACCCCCACCCACCCCCCAACACTCTTTCGCAGTGTCATTTTTTCAGGATTCCCACAAATCAGGCCGCTAGGTTGTCCCCAAGGGACATGTACATTTAAGACTGACTATATGAAGCGCACATAAAATATACGATATGTTTTACGAGCTTGAGATGAGCAAAAAGGCAGAAATATGTAAGAATTATTTTCCGTTCAAAACATCTATATACAGTGATTACAGATGAAAATATCGCTATCTTAACTATGTCATAATCGAAACCATTTTTCATTTTCTAATTCGCCATACTTTTTATCCCACCCACTTAACCTCTGACCTCTGACCTTTAGCCGGTAGCCCAGGAAGCTTTCGTAACGGGTCCAAAGGGCGTCAAATGTCAGCTGTTTATGACCGCGACTTTGGAAGATAACCGGTGCATCTACACCCGACCCTCTCAACACAGGTGAGTCTTACTAATTCACTCTCATTTCTAATTCGGATTCACCGAATCTCCACAAAATATAAATTAATTTCTTTGTCGATCGAAGCCTGCGGAAGCCATCTGCAGATTGCGTCGGTTTGGGTTTAAATACCACGCCAGTGGACATTACATCAATGTCTTGATAAATAGTAAACTGTTGTGGTCAGAATTATTTGTATAAACCCTTTATAGAATTTCACCCATTCATGCACAAAGGAAAGTAATAATTATATCGGCAAAAATCCGCGATGTAAACACAATCAATGAAAGGGGGGTAACTCTGTCTGGAGTACTGATAGGCGGTTATTTGTCAGAAAACTGCGATCTCGTTTCTATGGGTTCAAACCTGGACGAAATTATTTGGGTAAAAAAATAAAAATAGTAAATTGCTTTGTTATATAAAATCGCTTCACATTACAGTATCAGAAATTCCAAGCCAAGAGCAATATACAGAGAGATATTGGCCAGGATTTTTCGGGACAAAGACTTTTCATGTACTTTTCAGTGTATGAAACTATAAAGTCTATGAAATAATGGACACATAATTGCATTATGAACTTTGATGAGAAAACAAATTTAATTTTTTATTTGATCTATCTGCTAACAGTGTTTCTGTTATTACAATCGTAAATGACATAATTGAAGAAACTGCTCTGCGTACATGTTTGTGTCAATGACACTCTTCCATACCCTGGGAGGTAAGCATGCATAAATTGACACAATTTTTATTGTTTTGTGGCGCGATATAATACAGAACATTTTTTCAACATATTTCTGTGTTTTGGTCACCAAATTGGTTTTAATCACCAATTTTAAAACAAATGAGTTATGATCATGATGATAATGTACTATTTATTTGTGATGGTATTTTAAAATTTGAAGCTTTGAGAGGGTATTATAATTTTAAGGTTATTATCAGCAAATGCTGCACTCGATATTTACATACCCCTTTGTTTGAAGGAGACTATTAAGTTAGATAGAAACTGAATGATATTCATCATGGGAAGTAGTAATGAAGAACTCCATTCACTTAAAACTCAGTAAATGTTCGCGACCATTGTATAATTATATTACAACCGATAACAGATAAACACGCTCCCAGCAGTATGTGACATATGGCAAGTTAAAGGAATTGTACATCTTAAAAATATTTTTGAAATAAAGATATTGTACGAAAGATGTAAGTTTATTAGAATATAAATTAAGAAATTTCCACTTCTTAATACACACTAGAAAAGAATTGAAATTGATGAAATTGGTGAATAATGAAATGGGTTCTTTCTGTAAAGTTGACAGCGAAAGTCGCTCTCAAGGCTATCTCCACTGTGATGTCTTGAAACCTTTCTTTATATCTGCTTTAGTCAAGACAGACAAGATTTATTCAGTAACTAGGCCTCCAGCCCATAATACAATGATATATATACATGTTATATATCCTGCATGCATGTAGGTATGCTATGTATGTAGCCATGATTATGACACAAGTCATGTTTATAAATAAATAAAGTCAAATACTTATGCTTAAACAACCAAAGGTTCTTCTCTTATACTTCTAACTTTCAGCACAAACTTTCCAATAGATTATTATAATATTTCTATCTATTGATGACATCAATGATAAGAATGTTAAATAATTTGAGTGTTAAATATTGTGCAAGGTATTGCTTTCTGACAGTTTGATATCTTGGGCTATAATGAGAACATGATATTCATCTTCAATGAAGGATTTATCAAGAGAATTGCAGAAGATACAGAGGAATATTGAGATGTCAACCTGTTTCAACTGTATTTTTAAAATTATTGCATCTGAAATTTGTAAATAGTTTTCTTAAGTTGATCGGTATGTCATAATAAAGATAGAGTTCAGGGTTAATAAGGATTTATAATCTTTGTAATGTTTACATTTTGGTGATAGTGGAATGCCAGTTTTGAGTAAGACAGTCTCTTAATCTATGTTTGAATTTAAAAATGAAAATATTTGAGCACCAATGTTGTGTGTTATGCAAACAATACCAAACCGTACTCAAATACATGTTAATCTTCCACAATCATTCAAAGATTTTAACATGACATATGACAAATGTGGAAGTCCTTCTGTATCTAAATGAACAACCCTGCACCAATTTTTATTCCTCTACACAAGTAAATGTACTGCAAAAGTTATCTGCCACATTTTCCTGAAGCCAAACTGTTATTTGTGTATTTGCTGAGACTAAGAATATCTTCCTTATCAATATTATCAACTGTGCCGTCAGAACTGTTATATTTGTTATACATCACAGTATAATGTAATATTCACAGAATGTTTTATTAGCATAATGGATAAATTAATATTTCTAGCATGAAGGGTAATACCCTCTCATTTAACACTTTTCTTAAGATGATTAAAGATACTTACTATATTGAGAATTTTATTGCAAACAAAAACAATAATACAAACGCTTTTGAGTGGAAGCTACCTGTCACCTTATCTACTTGCCTGTCAAATGAAGCTCCAATGTATGTAATATCAAAGAAAACATTTGCCTTTTAACAGCAATACCAAACTGTGTGTGCTTCTATGTTGCCCAGACCCTCCGTGGTCTAGTGGGAGAGCGGAAGGTCCGGGTTTTGATCCCCGGTCGCGTCATACCAAAAGACGTTAAAAGATGGTACTTGGTGTTACCCTGCCTGGCGCCCGGCATTAAGGGCTAAAACAAGGACTGATCGGCTCGGAGTCAACTGTGTACTGTGTCTGAGTGGGGTATTCATGTTAAACTGCGGCATGGTATCCCAGTGAGCTAGCACTATAAATCGTCATCAGTCCGGACTAAACAAAAGTACAAGCAGCCACACACATACGTGCATGTACGTCGCTATATAAGTGCAATGATCTTGGCAGCGACGTTAAACCCAATTTCACCTCACTATGTTGCCCATGGGCCTGTGATCTTGTGGGAAAAAGTCTATTTTGAAAAAAAACCCAGTGGATATTATGTAGAAAAAAAGGAAAATGAAAATTGGTAAGAGCCCGCAAGCCGCAGTCGTGTGTTATGTATCCAGAGGGCAGGTAGAACGCTGGGATTTTGGGGGAGTTTTCTTACGTTTTTAATCACTAATCAGGAATGTAATTGTATATGTTTCAGGTTAATAATATATTGCTGTTTTCTACACACGTTTTGTCAGTACATAATTTTTTACAAAAAACGAGAATACATTTTTCATTAGCTTGTTTTGTTAGTTAAATCACGAAACACAGCATTTGTTGGCGTGGGGCTGGGGGTAGGGATCCGTGCAGTAATGATCCCCCATACAGCGCAGACCGTCGAATGGTTGGTTACCATGTGTCCCCCATTTGAGTGTGTGTTGTCGGTGCTCCTTATCGTAGTGTTCATGCTATCAACCACTAGTTTCTCTTGTTATCTCTTGTTTATTTACAAGCCCCCATGTTAGCATATTGCTGTGTCGTAAAATAACATTCACTCAGCGACATAACGACAGCCACTACAATTGCCAATACAACAGTGAAGCCATGTTAAGCCCTGTTTCAAGTTCATCCAGTCCCTTGGGCACGCCAGAAACCTATGATTGTGGAGTTCGAATCCCGTTTCGCCCCGATTATGTTTCTAGGTTTGTCAGCACCATACCCGTGCTCGTGGGTTTCACCAAAGTGGTAAACGTCTGAGACCTGCATCACTTTGGGCTTTCCTCCCACATTAAGCTGATACGCCGCGATATAACTGGAATACTGTTAAAAGCGGCGTTAAACACAACTCACTCACTCACTCAATCAAGTTCATCCTGGTGCACGGGATATTGTGTGTCGTAACTTGAGAGAAGTACATCGTTTGGCAAATGAAACATGCTTATAAATTATGTATGTCTCAAAACAAAAAGTACATTATGTAAATAGACAACCGGAAAGAACACTGATTACTAGCTTGCAAAAAACCTGCCTTGCACGGTTGTCACGTTCAACGTCACAAAAAACATGCTTTGGCTATATTTCGAAATTTACTTGACACAGACCACGTGATAGGTTTGTTTGTTTGTTTGTTTGTTGTTTAACGCCGCACGTAGCAATATTCCAGCTATATGGCAGCTGTCTGTAAAATAATCGACTCTTGACCAGACAATCCTGTGATTGACATCATGAGCATCGATCAACGCAATTGGGATCGATAACATGTATCAACCAAGTCAGCGAGCTTGACCACCCGATCCCGTTAGTCGCCTCTTACGACAAGCATAGTCGCCTTTTACGGCAAGCATGGGTTGCTGAAGACCTATTTTACCCCGGAATCTTCACGGGTCCCACGTGATAGGTAAACAAGCGGGAAATCTGAGTTTGGGCTATTTTGAACAGTTTATATCACGGTCTGCGCGTACCTGCTCATAATGTGAAGATAGCTCAATGTGTTGTTTGTTTGTTTGTTGTTAAACTCCGCACTCAGCAATATTCCAGCTCATGTTGGCAGTCTTTAAATAATCGAGTCTGTACCAGACAATTCCATGATTGACCTTATGAGCATCGATCCACGCATTTGGGATACGATGACATGTATCAACCAAACCAGCGACCCTGATAACCCGATCCCGTTAGTCGCCTCTTATGGCAAGCATGGGTTGCCTATTTGACCCCAGTGAATAGTGGTCGAAGACCCAGTGAATAGCGGTCAAAGTGACGCAAGTCCTGGACTTTCTGTAAATGGAAGTCAGTTGATATAATTTGCTTTCCTTTTTTTTTACGCCGCAGTCAGGAAAAACCCAGCATTATCACGGTGGTCTGTAAAATATTCGTATCTGGGTAAGGCGATCACGTGACCTCACGCCGATAACAAACAATCAACTTCTTCACCGAGCCTGACCATCCGATCCCCTTTTCAGTCGGCTTTCGCGACAGACATTACATCCTGGTGGCAAACTCTGACCCGAAATGATTCAAGTTCTTAAACTCGTGAAAGCTGGTTAGGTAAAATGTCCCAGCAGATTCTTTCGATACTATGGTCTAATATCGAAACTTAGCTTCATCTACAGACAACGCATCTGGTTTGTGTTAAGAGGGTTGCATTGTATATAAGCAAGTGCAATTTTTAATCAAAAATGAGTTATGTTATTGTGATTTTGTAGGCAATTGCGTTTGTTTGCAGGCAATCGCGTCGCTTGGAGGATCAAAGCAATACGGGTCTCCACTGTGAAAAATGCTGTTCCCATCGGAGGTCTCGTACTTCGTTTCCGGAAGTGTCGTTGCCATCGTCAGCGTCCTTGTATGGTACTACCGCCGTAACAAGCACACCCTTCCCAAACTACATTATGTCGACTCAGATCTCCATCGACACATCTTAAAAAGCAAACCTGGATTTACCTCCCCTTACCGGCCGCCATTTTGGCTTCAGAACAACCATCTACATACGATTATAGCAACCTTCGTGCCAAAGACCAAAGTTATTTTCAAGCGGGAGTACATGGATCTAGATGACGGGGGTGTAGTTGCTTTGGACTGGGCACAGGACGGTTCAGAACGTCTTTCAGACAAAAGTACTATTCTCATTGTGTTGCCTGGTTTGACGGCGAGCGCGGATGATGTGGGCGAACTCTGCAACATGGCGTCAAAGCGAGGTTACCGAGTTGTGGTATTCAACAAACGTGGGCACGGGAATTCCGTATTGGCCACACCTAAACTGCAAGGGTTTGGTGATGCGAAGGATATGAGACGCTGTGTGGAGTATGTACGCGAGAAGAATCCCGCAGCAAAAATTGTGGCTATAGGCTCCAGTGCAGGGTCGGGCCTTCTTGCCTCCTATCTAGGTGAATATGGAGCTGACTGTATCCTGGCAACCGGTGTATGTATATGCCCCGGATACGACGCCCTGGAACTCTTTACAAAGCGCATGAATTTTATCTACGAATTTCTTCTTCTTAAGTCGTTGAAGAAAATCTTGAAGAAACATGCCAAGGTTTTATCGCCATTGCTGGATCTTGATGCGGCGTACAGATCAACACGTTTCATGGATTTCGATACCCATGTCTATTGCAAATTCTACGGGTATGAAGATATTATTGAGTACTGGAAATATAACAACCCAATGAGAAATGTCCTCAATTCATCAGCTCCCGTTATGTGCATAAATAGCATGGACGATCCCATTTGTGTAGCCAGGAATATACCATTTGACATGTTTCAAGAGAAGTCTGATTGGTTGCTGGTGACAACAAACAAGGGAGGCCACTGCGGTTTCCTGGAAGAATCCACACTGACGCCTTGGTCTGACCGAATAGCTCTCGATTACATTGACGCTGTGCTGGAGTTCCAAGGAGCTGAGATTGAACAATAGGTCAACTATTTGAACAATTACACATTTGACCTTTTTTAAATTTTAATTTCTCTTCTCTTCTTCATGATATATACAAGATTTACAAACGTTGAAAGGGATTTACAAAAACAAATTTACAGAATTCTTTTCTTGATGACCACTACCTCTAAGTTCAACATAGATTTGCATATGTATGATGTAAGTAGTCTTTCAAATGTTCTTAAGCTTACACATCTATTACCTGTTCATGTGTTCTTTAACGTCATAATATCATTGTCGTTATTTATGTATCTACTCTTTCCTTCTGTCTTTGTTACTGCCCCGTGGCCATTCCGTGTCAGAACAAGTCCCCATCAATCTATGGTGGTCGTCCAAATGGGCCAGACTCTGTGCCTTGGTTGATTGCGTGTCATCGTACCCCGACAGCATGGATCGTGGCTCATATCATCAATCTTTGGATTGACTCGATTATGGAAAGGTCGTCTTCATATAGCATGAATATTGCCAAATTTGGCGTCAAGCAACATGCACACAAACTTTATTTTTACTGTACTGCAGAACAAAAGGTTCAACCTATTGGGCCGCAATATGTGCTATCCATTCTTGATCTACGCCCGTCCTCATAATATTGGAATTTTCATAAAGCACCACTCTTACGAGCTCACGGAAGCAATGGATATCAACTATATCACACCGAAACACAGCATATTGATGTCACATTCAATTTCATTTCAATAAAGTCAACTGTCACTTGTTTTCGTGCTTGTTTCTATTTATTGGACTGGCCTGTCGGTGTTGAACACGAGATAGCATCACAGCTGTCCTGTGTCCTTAGGTTCATAGCGTAAGAGTTCACATTTTAATAGTTATTATTCCCCGTGTATATGACACAAAATGTTTGTTAAATTAACTGTTATTTATTTGTTGAAATAACTCGCTCGACTTAGCTTTTCAGTTCACGCACGCACGCACACACGCACACACACGCACGCACACACGCACACACACACACGCGGACAAACGAGTCGCTTGTGACGGGGCAAAAGTCCATATCGTATCTTTTGCTGTTGTCACTTACGTGTGTCCATGGGTCAATGAGATGCCAAAGTCAAGTGTCACACCATCATATATTGCGTGATCTAAGCATGTGATATGATGCTGTGGGTGAACTTCAACAACGCCGTCCCAGATACAGGTTGGTATCCCTCGTGTGTTGCACTTTCTTTTCATTTTTTGTTTGTTTTTTGCTTGACGACGCCCTCAGCAATATGACGGTGGTCTGTATATAATCGAGCCTGGATCAGACGATCCGGTGATTGACATCGTGAGCATCGATCTCCGCAACTGGGATTCGATGACACTCATCATCAATTGGCGAACCCGGCGACCCGATCCCGTTGATCGCCTCTTAAGACAATCATCGATTGCTTGAGACCAACAGTAACCCGGTTCGTCACGGGACACTTCTACTAATGATAACGAAAACCGATCGAGGTATAAATTTATTCAATGAAAATGAAATTTAAACAATTGAAGTATTGTCATAATATCTGTTAGAGAAAGAGTATAGCTTCGGTCACTGTTGAAAGTAGTTAATTGTGTTTAACGCCGCTTTTAACAGTATTCCAGTATTGTGTGCATCTGTTGGAATAGCTAAAGACAATATTACGTGAAGACATGTTTAGTGAACAAAAGTCTGTTGACAATGCCAACAAACAACATGTGACCAATAATTAGTCACATCATCCGTCAAAATGAGTGTTTCGGACCAAAAATTCAATAAAAAAATCACGAAAACAAATTCATTGCCCCCCCCAAAAAAACAACAACAACAAAACAACAACAAACAAAAAACAAAAACAAAACAACAACAACCAAACAACAACAACCAAAAACAACACACCCAAAAAACAAAAAAACAAACAAAAACAAAACAACAAAACAAAAACGAAAACCAAAAAAAATACCCCCAAACCCACAAAACAAAACAAAACAAAACACTTGTATTGGTAGAAACATGTGATCAACATAATGCGATCACAGCCTGGCACCGTCGTCTCATGCCACTTATAAGTGTAGAGATTGTTTGCAAGGGAAGATTGTTTCACTTGTAGAGTTACCGGAGGAGAGGGGGAACTGCAGCTCGTTCCACATGTGTTCAATAGGGTTGAGGTCTGGTGATCGGACTGGCCACTCCATGCGGACAAAGGTCTCCTGTTCTAAGTAGGCATCAACGACCCAGGCACGATAAGGTCGTGCCTACTCCCCCGTGAGGATGTAGTTCAGTCCGATGGCACAAGCATAGGTCTCACGTACATAACTAGAATGAGGGCGACCGGGTAGCCAAGTGGTTAAAGCGGTCGCTCGTCACGCCGAAGACCCGGTTTCATTTCCCGACATGGGTACACATGAAGCCGATTTCTGGCGTCCCCTCCCGTGATATTGCTTGAATATTGCTAAAAGCGGCGTAAAATCATACTCACTCACAACCAGAATGTCATCCCATTAGCGCACCCCTGTCATCGTGCCCCGCTATAGGCCATGGAGATCGGAACTTCCAGCTCTACTGATCCCTCGCAAAATCATGATTGATCCCCCACCACTGCGGCCATGTTCGGCTTCGTTGGAATCCTGAAATCTTTTTCCTTGTCTTCGCTATACTATAGCACGACGATGTGTGAAGTCTAGACAGTATCTCGAGTCATCAGTGAAAAGTACTGGATCTGGGTCCTGATCTGTCCAATTGGCGTGATCTTCATTCCATTCCACACGTGTTTGCCTATGATGTCGGGTCAGTAGGATGCGAATGCATTCCCTGCGTGACCGAAAACCAGCCTCATGGAGACGATTACGTACTGTCTGAGTAGAAATGTTAGTGCCACTGGCGTTCCGCAGGTCATTTCTGAGTATGGTGGCGGTCACAGAGTGAGAACATCTTGCTGCAATCAGGAGAAAACTGACTTCCCGTTGTGTGGTGGAACGCTGTCGACCACGTGCATGCGTTTGGTACCTGATCCAAACGTCTGGTATCGATTCCATGCCCTGCTGATCACACTGTGGCTAACACCAAAGACGTTTGCAACGTGACGTTGTGTTGACCTAGTTTCAAGCATACCAATGCATCTGCCTAATTCTTGGGTCGTCAAACGTCGTCTTTGACGATGATGGGGCATACAGTGCATTCAGTTGTCGGATTCTCAGTAACATATGTTGTGCTCTCTGATAATTACGTGCAATGATTTAAACACAGGTTTTCAAGCACATCATGGGCATGACTGCATGCCTCTGCCCGTTCATCAACTGAGGTCCTATAGATGTACTATAAACATTGTGTACCGGGATATTTTAATCTTTATTTGTTGGATTTTTTAAATATAACATTTGAACTTGATCTTTAGCAAACATTGAGTAGTATAATCCTGACTCATATATAAGACCACGTCAACTGAGAACATAAAATTTCACGGACTGATTGTATAAGATATAACAAAACATAAACAGACGCAAAACAATGCAAAACGTTGGATTTTTGTTTATGCCATCAACCACTAATCTTGGCTGGATTATCTACAGGCCGCCTTGGTATGGCGGGAATATTGCTCAAACAATTGTCAAACAGTAAACATTTCCTGTATTCAAGACAATGAGTCGTGAAGCGAAAGTAAGAACTCTGTGTGAATAAGTTGCAGAACCAACAGCTAAGGTCCATGCATGTCATTGGTTATACACGTACACGCGAACAATGCAACTAGCTGCAACAGCACTGATGCGGCCTGAAGCAATCTTTAGGGGCGGTCGGGTAGCGTCGGGTAGTGGTTAAAGCGTTCCCTCGTCACGCCGAAGACCCGAGTTCGATTCCCGACATGGGTACAATGTGTGAAGCCCATTCTTGGTGTCCCCCGCCGAGATATTGCTGGAATATTGCTAAAAGCGGCGTAAAACAATACTCACTCACTCACTCATTAAAGCAATCTTTATTCTCGCTCATTCACTCACTCACTCAAATGTGTCAATATGAACACATGTCCACCCACATTTGAAATTAATTAAGATGGCCGGCTGGTTAAAACGTTTTGAAGATTTTTCCTGAAGCCAAAAAACAATGATCCACAATTAATATAAGTTTATATATTTATGTCTCCCTACTTTCACATACCGCGTGGACAGATTATGAAATATGTCTTCAGACTGTAGTTTCTGTCTACAACAGCGAGGTCGGTGTAGGATGGTGTGTAGAATTGGAGGAAATACATGTCGTAAAAACTAAGTGCACTGTTACGTATTAAAAGCGATTCCGTGGCCACGCAGCCTAAAATAGAAATCCTAAGGACTTGACATTTGTACCAGTCTAACAATGCTCCTCGGTATCAACAACTGACCTGAGATAGCTGTGATCTAGGTCATTGTTACGTCAAGGCATGGTGTAATATTCAGGAACTACACCTCAAAATGTAGACTCAAAAGCTAGTCATGTCGAGGTGTTTCAATGACTTGCTAGGCGGACTAGTGGCTGATAGCATGGCCTCTGGCCCTGGGGGTACCATGACAACCAGCCAGGACACACAGCCTCACCCGGTCCCATTTCATACAGACATGACGTACTCTGGACAAATTCTGACCCCGAATTAGTAAATTCTAAACTCATGAAACCTTTCCACTTTAAAGACAATGTCCCAGCAGATTCATTAGGTACAGACTGCTGCAGTCTATTTAATTATTTTTTTCAACAGCTCAAAGCATCATTATTCTTTCAAGTATTATCGGGAACAATCAATTTTTGTTAATCGGAATAGGGTCATAACAAAACAATTTAAAAAAAATGCTTTATGTGTGTACGATTTCAAATCCTGCTTTTTGTTTGTAGGCCCCGGAAGTTCATGCCGATTAAGATCTCAACTGTGTAAAATGCTGTTCCCATCGGATGTCGTGTACGTCGTTTCCGGAAGTGTCGTTGCCATCGTCAGCGTCGTTGTATGGTACTACCGCCGTAACAAGCACACTCTTCCAAAACTACACTACGTAGACTCCAATCTTCATCGACACATCCTGAAAAGCAAACCGGGATTTACCTCCCCTTACCGGCCGCCATTTTGGCTTCAGAACAACCATCTTCATACGATTATAGCAACCTTGGTGCCAAAGACCAAAGTTACTTTCAAGCGAGAGTACATGGATCTAGATGACGGGGGTGTAGTTGCTTTGGACTGGGCACAGGACGGTTTGGATCGTCTTTCAGACATAAGTACTATTCTCATTGTGGTGCCCGGTTTGACGGCGAGCGCAGACGATATGGGCGGACTGTGCAGCATGGCGTCAAAGCGAGGTTACCGAGTTGTGGTATTCAACAAACGTGGGCACGGGGGTTCCGTATTGGCGACACCTAAACTGCAAGGGTTTGGTGATGCGAAGGATATTAGACGCTGTGTGGAGTATATACGCGACAAGAATCCCGCAGCAAAAATTGTGGCTATAGGCTCCAGTGCAGGGTCGGGCCTTCTTGCCTCCTATCTAGGTGAATATGGAGCTGACTGTATCCTGGCAACCGGTGTCGCCATATGCCCAGCATTTGACACCGTGGAATTCTTTACAAAGCCCTTGAATTTAATCTACCAATTTCTTCTTCTATCGTCCGTAAAGAAAATCGTGAAGAAACATGCCAAGGTCTTATCGCCATTGCTGGATCTTGATGCGGCATACAGATCAAGATGTTTCACGGATTTCGATACCAATGTCTATTGCAAATTCTACGGGTATAAAGATGTTTTTGAGTACTGGAAGCATAACGATCCATTGCGAAATGTTCAGAATATATCGGTTCCCATAATGACCATAAGCAGCATGGACGATCCCATTTCTGTAGCCAGGAACATACCATTCGACATGTTTCAAGAGAAGTCTGATTGGTTGCTGGCGACGACAAACAAGGGAGGTCACTGCGGTTTCCTGGAAGAATCCACACTGACGCCTTGGTCTGACCGAATAGCTCTTGATTACATTGACGCTGTGCTGGAGTTCCAAGGAGCTGAGATGAGGTGAAATTTTTGAACTTTAAAAAAGAACACCTTTGACTCCTTTTTGATGTGTCGATTGGTATGTTCTTTTTCATAGACACTAGATTTAGAAACGTTTAAAGAAATTCAAAAATACAAGTTTAAAGTAATTCAATTAGATTTGATATATTTGCTGATTGGCTGATCATAGAATGGGTGGGGCTTGTTGGGCATTATTACACTGAACGTTGTCACTCATTATATGCTTTTGTCTGAAGTTATTTTTTGTTGATTTTCTATTAATAGTGTTTCTGTACGCGATTATACACAGTGTGCATACCGTGCATCATGTGTACATCTCGATAAATGCAAAAGATATTGAATTCAAATTTTGAAAACCAGTTATTTTTTATTTACTCTTTCCTTCTTTCTTTGTTATATCTGTACTTCAACACACAAGGTTCAATCTTTGTTGGTCCAATGCATGATGTTCCTTCTTGGTGTACACCTGTCCTCGTAATGCTGGAATATTTAATAAAGCATCCCTCCTACTCGTTGACGGAAGCAATGGATGTCAATTATTTCTCACGAAAACACTTCTTTTGTGAAATTTTGATGTCACATTCAATATCATTTCAATAAAGTCAGTTGTCACTTGTTTTCGTGCTTGTTACTATTTACTGAGTAGTGAGAAGTTAAACTTGTAAGATCGACGTAATGAGAAGAGATTGACGATGCAGTTTAACTTGTGAGATGGATGTAACACGAATATATTGACGATGTAGTTAAACTTGTGAGATGGATGTAACACGAATATAGTGACGATGTAGTTTAACTTGTGAGATGGATGTGACACGAATATAGTGACGATGTAGTTAAACTTGTGAGATGGATGTAACATGAATATAGTGCACGTGACGATGTAGTTTAACTTGTGAGAAGGATGTAACACGAATATATTGACGATGTAGTTAAACTTGTGAGATGGATGTAACACGAATATAGTGACGATGTAGTTTAACTTGTGAGAAGGATGTGACACGAATATAGTGACGATGTAGTTAAACTTGTGAGAAGGATGTGACACGAATATAGTGACGATGTAGTTAAACTTGTGAGAAGGATGTGACACGAATATAGTGACGATGTAGTTAAACTTGTGAGATGGATGTGACACGAATATAGTGACGATGTGGTTAAACTTGTGAGATGGATGTGACACGAATATAGTGACGATGTAGTTTAACTTGTGAGAAGGATGTGACACGAATATAGTGACGATGTAGTTAAACTTGTGAGATGGAAGAAATGAGAAGAGAGTGACGATGTGGTCATCGATGTTCGATTGAGATTGAGTCCAAAACTGCATACCAGTTGCAGGCAAGTGCTTACCTCAGACCTCGGTACATGCAATGATTTTTTCTATTTCATCCAACCAAAGTCGACTTGCAGAACAATGGAGTTTATGTGTTAGAAATTGCACACAGCTAATTACTGTTGATTGATAACTGACAAGTACCAATCTATCGTCGGTGCATATATGGTGATTTCACAACTGACGTTTTCATTGTGATGCTTACTATTCCTCGTGTTTATCATAGAAAGTATTTGTCATATTAACTTTGTTAGTTATTTGTTAAAATAAGTCGCAACGCCGAGCTTGTCAATGTAAACACACTCCGCCTCACACGTGTCGCTTGTTATGGATAGGCAACAGTCCATGTGCTATCTGATGTGGCTGTCACTTGTCCATGTCCATGGGTCAATGAGCTGCCAAAGTGAACAGTGTCACACCACCAGATATTGCCTGATATAAACGTTGATGTGAGGGTGTGGGCTGAAACACGGCGCTACTGTCACAGATACAGGTGCGTATCACTCACGTATCGCACATTCTACTCTTCTTGTTTGTTGTGTAACGCCGCACTCAGCGATAAGACGGCGTTCTGTAAATAATCGAGTCTGGACAAGCATGGGTTGCTAAAGACAAATTGTAACACGGTTCTTTACGGGGCACTTTCTGCAGTGCATAGCGAAAACCAATCGAGGTATACAGTAAACTACGGTTATAACGAACTCAAAGGGGCCACTAATTATAGTTCGTTATAACCGTGGTTCGTTATAACCATATGTACAACATATATACAGCAAATGGACGGGACAAAAACAACAGTTCGTTATATCCGTCAGTTCGTTATAAGCGTGTTCGTTATAAACGTAGTTACTGCATATTAAATCATTCCACATGACATTTCACCTAATGTTATATTGTTATGATTACTCTGTTTGAGAAAGAATATAGTTTGGGTCACTGCTTCAACACGCTTCCCCTTCTCTCAAAGGAGTCAAACAATGGTGTTTCTAGTTTCACATTTTGACAGCACACCCAGCATATCCCTCTGGGTGTGCTGTATTTTTATTACTGAGGTAAAGTACTCTTTTAGATGGATTTTAATGACCTGTTCCTGATGACAAAAATATCTTTTATGTCCGTAAAACTTAACACCAAAACACATGCAATAGCTTGCACGTGCCGCAAGCAGTAGAGCCGCACACGTACGTACATGTAGGGTGTCATTCCTGATTTTGACATTTTCGAGGAAGGTCGATTTTTCTCTGTGGATCAAAATGTCTGTCATTCGTATAGATAGTGCTATTCATACAGTTGTGATTTACTTGATTTTATTCAATGTGTGTGTATGAACTGGTGATGTGGCGTCTTTAGCTGCAGCGCGCGGGGCGTCTACGGACTATTGTCATGCTGGGAACTGAAGCCAGCGTGCAGTGGTCAATACGTTCAATGTTCCACTGTCTGTGATTGGCAGGCAATGGAGCAGGTACCAACAAACCCAAAATGTTGACGATCGACCCCGTTTAGGTCAACGACAAGAGTACAGTTTCGATTGATCCGAGGCTTACGAAAACGAGCTCAAAAGGCGAATCAAATTGCTGAAAGCTATCATCAGGCTTCTAGAGTACGAGTGACGGGTCAGACGATTAGAAATCGTCTATAGCAGCTCATCTCCATGCTCGACGTCCACGTGTTGTGCCGCCCATTACACACAGACGCCAACCATGTACACAACCTCGAAACCGGGGTAATCGTCTGTCACGTGTCATGTTTTCAGACGAGTCCCGATTCACTTTGTACTTCCTTGATAAGCTTGGTCGTGTCTGGTGACGTCGAAATGTACGTCAAGCCAATGTCAACCTGAGACCTCATGACAGATTTGGCGGTGGATCGGTTATGGTATGGGGTGGCATCACCATGACGGAGCGAAGCCCACTCTATATTGTGCAAGGAAAGGTGACTAGATAGTACTATCGGTACAACATACTGACACCCTTTGCTGTCGATCCCGTTTTCAAGTCGTGTGGGTCGACGTTTTGTCTTTCAGAAAGACAACGCCCGTGCTTACCGTCCACGAATCGTCAATGCTCGCCTCCATCAGCACAACATCCATAGTGAGTGAGTGAGTTGGGTTTAACGCCGCTTTAAACAGTATTTCAGTTATGTCACGGCGTGTCAGCTTACTGCGGGAGGAAATCCCGAAGTGATGCAGGTCTCAGACGTTTACCACGAGCACGGGTATGGTGCTCACAGACCTTGAAACATTTGAACCTACAATCATAGGTTTCAGGCGTGCCCAAGGAATGCAACTCTACACAGCGAATCGCGGCGCATTAGACGGCTGGGCCACCGGTGGCCCGACAACATCCATTGCCAATGATCTGGGAGAGTGCGTCAGAGCCATCGGCCGCCGACCACGTTGGCTGAACTTGGCCTTGGCCAAGTCCTTCCAAAAGACGTTAAAAGACGGTATTTGTAATTACCCTGCCTAGCACTCGCCATTAAGCCAATGAGCTAAAACAGGGACTGGTCGGCTGGGATTCAGTATACTGTGTCGGGGTTGGGTATTCATGTGAAACTGCGGCCTAATATCTCAGTGGGCTAGCACCATAAAACCGTTTTAAAGGAAAATATTTATAATGTGAACGTCTTACCTTTTGTTTGCAGGCAATCACGTGCCTTGAAAGATCATAGCGATTGAAACCTCTCGACTGTACAAAATGCAGCTGTCAGAGGTCACGTACGTCGTTTCCGGCTGTGTCGTTGCCATCGTCAGCGTCCTTGTATGGTACTATCGCCGCAACAAGTACACCCTTCCCAAACTACATTATGCCGACTCCGATCTTCATCGACACATCCTGAAAAACAAACCTGGATTTACCTCCCCTTACCGACCGCCATTTTGGCTACAGAACAACCATCTACATACGATTATAGCAACCTTCGTGCCAAAGACCAAAGTTACTTTCAAGCGAGAGTACATGGATCTCGAAGACGGGGGTGTAGTTGCTTTGGACTGGGCACAGGACAGTTCAGAAGGTCTTTCAGACAAAAGTACTATTCTCATTGTGTTGCCTGGTTTGACGGCGAGCGCGGACGATATGGGCGAGCTGTGCAACTTGGCGTCAAAGCGAGGTTACCGAGTTGTTGTATTCAACAAACGTGGGCACGGGGATTCCGTATTGGCGACACCTAAACTGCAAGGGTTTGGTGATGCGAAGGATATGAGACGCTGTGTGGAGTATTTACGCGAGAAGAATCCCGCAGCAAAAATTGTGGCTATAGGCTCCAGTGCCGGGTCGGGCCTTCTTGCCTCCTATCTCGGTGAATATGGAGCTGACTGTATCCTGGCAACCGGTGTCGCAATATGCCCAGCATTTGACGCTCTGGACCTCTTTACAAGGCCGTTGAATTTTATCTACGAATTTCTTCTTCTATCGTCCGTGAAGGAAATCGTGAAGAAACATGCCAAGGTCTTATCGCCATTGCTGGATCTTGATGCGGCATACAGATCAAGATGTTTCACGGATTTCGATACCAATGTCTATTGCAAATTCTACGGGTATAAAGATGTTTTTGAGTACTGGAAGCATAACGATCCAATGAGAAATGTTCAGAATATATCGGTTCCCGTTATGTGCATAAATAGCATGGACGATCCCATTGCTTTGGCCAGGAACATACCATTCAGCTTGTTTCAAGAGAAGTCAGGTTTGTTGCTTGTGACAACAAACAAGGGAGGTCACTGCGGTTTCCTGGAAGAATCCACACTGACGCCTTGGTCTGACCGAATAGCTCTCGATTACATTGACGCTGTGCTGCAGTTCCAAGGAGCTGAGATGAGGTGAAATAGGTCAACTTTCTGAACTTTAAAAAGAACACCTTTGACTTCTTTTTAATGTTGTCCTCTGCTTCATGATAGATGTACGAACGTTTAAAGAAATTTTCAAATACCAATTTAAAGTGATTCCGTTGGACCACATTCACAAGCCAAAGTAAAAGAAAGATCACGTCCAGTAACGGACAAGCTGATGGACTGATAATGGAATGGACGGGGCTTGTGTTGCATAATTACGAACGATGTCACTGATTTTGTGTTGTTTTCTGAGATTGCTATTATACGCAAATTTACAGTGTGCATACCTTTTTTATGTTTACTCCTCCATAAGCGCAAAAGATATTGGAGTCAAATCTAATATAATAATTGTTATTTTTTATTTCCCTTTTCCTTCTCTCATTGTTATTTCTGGACTTGAGCACAGAAGGTTCAATTTATTTGTGGAGGTTACATGTTTTAGTCATGATTA